AATGGATAAGAAAACAAGACCCCTACATATGCTGTCTACAAGATACTCACTTCAGATTAAAAGACACACACAGACTAAAAAGAAGAGAATGGAGAAAGATATTGCCTTGCTAGACTTAGAGGGTATTGCGCTGAATGAAATGGGAAAGATAAAGACAAATATCGCATGATTTCATGTACATGTGGAATCTAAAGAACAAATAAATAACAAGAAAAGCGGAAATAAATTCATAGATACAGAGAATAATTTGAGGACTACTAGATGGGAGGGGAGAATGTCAAAAGGATTAAGAGGTACAAGTGGATAGTTGCAGAATAGTCATGGAGATATAGAGTGTGGCATGGGAAAGGTGGTTAATAACATTGTAATAAATATGTAAGGGGAAAGAGGGGGGCTACATTAAGTGGGGTGATTGCTTTGCGAGTTATGTGGATCTCTGATCACTATGCTGTACAACTGAAACTGGTATGTTATTGTATGCCAACTATAATTGAAAAAACTCATTGAAATGTACAATGTAAATACCAGCAACTGATTGTCTATTATGTTTCAATGAAGTTGGCGTGGGGTGGGTGGGGGGGAGACCTAACACTTGCTAGTGCTTGACAGTTTACAATGTATTTCAAAATCATTATCTCATTGCAACCCATTGAGAGTTAGTAAGGAACACTGATCATCAGGGACTATTAGAAATTAAGACATTGAAGCTCACAAAAAAAAAATTTTTAAGAAAATTTGCACAGTCACAGAATCTGAAAGTAGCAAAGCCAGGGTTCGGACCCAGTATTCACTGTTTTATCCACTTTGTTCATAAAATATAGATATCACATTACATGGGTGCTGAAGTTCCTTTGCCCTTAGGCATCTATGTTCTCCATAACCAGCCCCCACATATGAAAAGCTGTTTCCATATCAGGTACTCTGTTCTGGCTAGGAACCAAAGTCTAGCTGTCCATCACCTGCATCGTTGTGATCTTCACTCTGGTCTGGGCCCTGGGGCAGGTCAGCCCTCTGTTCACAGGATTTGATTCTCCCCGCACCCTATGAGACAGAGAGCCCTGTGCCTTTTTTACAGATTAAAATCTGAGGCTTGGGTGAGGTCACTCCCTGGAATGAGGTAAAACCAGGCTAGGAACCCAGGTCTCTGTGCTCCAGAGTATGCACTCTGTCAGCCACCTGTCAGGACTCAGAGGATTCAGGGGAAGCCCTGCCTTGAAGAGGGAGATGAGCCAACTGTAGCATCAACCCTATAGACAGCTGCAGGGAGCTGGGAAGGTCAACATGCTGGAAGTCCTCTTTGAGGCACGGTGTCAGAGGGACATGCACACAGACTCTATAGGGACTGTGTCAACAATTGGTGACTGAATTAAACACTAAATGCTAGATTTGGTTGTGGTTGCTGAATAAAGATGTACTAAATGGTGTTGAATGAGAAAGGAGTTTGTTTATTTGTGTGAGAGCTGGAAGATGGAATTGTGCTGGAAAGGCTTCCTCCCAGCACAGCTGGGCATGTGCTGCCTCTTAACCCATTTTCTTCTTGGCCTTCTGGAGCAGCCAAGTTTTACAGCCAAGCTGTTTGAAACACAACATGCCTTGCCCTCTTCTCTCTCCCCAGACACTCTCCTGGGGTGAGCCACCCGCTTGTAAGACACAGATCCCACTTAAGAGCAGGCAGGTAGCTGACTAGCATTGACTTCCAACTAGGGCCTCTCCCCAGATGCCGGTCCACACACCTCTGTCCAGTGTGAGCCACAGGCCCATGGGTTTCAACATAATCTCAACCTCAAATACAACTTGCTTCCCTTCTTGTATTTCTCATCTCAGTTAAGGGCATGCCACCTCTCCAGTTCCCCGAACTAAAAATATTGGAGTCATCTTCAGCTACTCCCCTGCTTGTTTTTCACCACATCCTATGAAATCTTCCTTAGCTTCTCCCATCCCTCTATGCCTATTGTCAGAGCCCAGCTCTGACCCTGAACTCATTTATTTGGATCACCTACAGACTCCCCTGGCCCAGTCTGGCCTCCATGCCATCCCCAGAATGTTCGCGAATCTGTTGGAATAGGTCACCATGACACCCTGGTTCGTTCCCCCACTGAGAACAATGCCCACTGTGCGTTCAGAGCTCTGCAGATTCACTCTGACATGGCTGCCCAACTGGTTCCTATCATTCTCCTCTAGAATCACCCCCCTCCCAACACACACACACACACACCACATTGCCAGACACACCATTACTGTCCCTCTGTGCCTTTGGTCTTCCTAAAAGCAGGACAGAATAGTCACAACCACCCCCATGCACCACTCACCTCACTCATCCTGTGCCTTCCTGGATACTCTTTGGGAAGAATTCATTACTTTGTTCCTTTCATATATTACTGCTAGCATAGCACCTCAATCATTTAGTCAGTCCTTAACAAGCCTATACTAAATGCCTTCTAATGCAGACATCCCTCTAAGCTCTAGGAATAAGTAAATAAATAGCACCCATTGCCATGATTGGTTATTGGTATGTGAGAATCACTTGCAATCTTGACTTTCACTGCTATGAAACAGATCCAACACACTGTATCTGGGACATGCGTATAGTGCCTTATACATAAGGTGTCAGTAAATCAGAATGGTTGGGGAGCTTGACTACAGATTGAATATTAGGTGCTACTAGATCATTTTGATTTTGTTAGGAGTGAGAAAGTCACTACAGTATATATGAGAATGTTCTCATTTCTCCAGAGATGCAAGCTGAAGGATCTATGTGAAGGGATTCAAATAAAAATATATATTAATAACAAAGAAATATGTCAAAATGTTAACAGCAGTTGAATTCAGGCACTGGGGTGCCCATGTTAAGTCTTTATATTTGAAATTTTTTGCAATAAAAGGTTTTTTAAAAGGTGAGTTGATTTCAATTGACGGGACCTATTTTCTCATCTGTCAAATTGGGGGCGTGTCTTAGGCTGATCCAGCTGCTCTAACAGAATCCTACAGACTGAGTGGCTTATGAAACAACAGAAATTTATTGCTCACAGTTCTGGAGGCTGAAAGTCCAAGATCAGGGTGCGAGCATGGTCATGTTCTGGTGAGGGCGCTCTTCCTGGTTCATAGCTGGCTGTCTTCTCACTGTCTCCTCACATGGCAGAAGAGCCTAAGTATCTGTCTGGAGCCTCTTTTATAAGGTGCTACTCCCATTCCTGTAGGCTCCACTCTCACAACTTAAGCACCTCCAAAAGGCCCCACCTTCTAATACTATTAAATTGATCATTAGGATTTCAATATACGAATTGGTAGGGGCAAAAGGACACACATTCAGGCCACACCAGGGTGTCAGTGGAGGGGCAGCAAATGATCTCTGAAGGCTCTGTCCATCTCTGAAGGCTCTGTTCAGCCCAAGGGGCTCTCTCAGGAAATACCCACTCTGTGAGCTCTGGGTAGCTCCTTGCAGGCCCCATGGGGTTCGGGAATCTGGAAGAAAATTGCTTTTTGCCTCAATGTTCCTGCAAGTCAACATTGTTGGCACCAGCAGCCCTGAAAGGGAAGAAGTGTGTGTGTTTGTTTCTGAGAGTTCGACTGAGAAGGAGGGCAGTCAGAAGGGAGGCATGATTTAAGCGATCAAGTCAATGTGCTGACATCAAGTTGAATCAGAAAAAGCAAGCTTCAGGTCAAGCTACAGCTCTTTGAAACATGGTTCACAAAAGCAGTCAGCAGTCGCTAATAATTTGTAAAACAAATCACCTGATATGTGCAGGAGAGTATGCACTAGAAAATTTCTATCCCAGAGAGTTTACACCATTTAAAAGGCTGGAATTGAGACTGTTCCAATCCTTAACCTGCTCAAGAGACTTCTGCTTCATTTTTGTAATTAAGAGCTCTATTGAATCTCCTAACAAGAGTTACCCCACTCTTTCAGAGGTCTAAAATATGCTGAACTGTCTACCACCATGCCACCTTCCACGCCCCCAATCTCCTCTGATCTCAGAAGCTAAGCAGGGTTGGGCCTGGTTAGTACGTGGATGGGAGACCACCTAGGAATATCAGGTGCTGTAGGCGATTAAATAAATAAATAAAACATGCTGAACTGCATCTTCCTATATGGTCATCTGAGCAAGCATGATGTGGATAGAATCCCCCTCAGCCATGACTCGGTTCCCTCTCTTCTTCCTTGCTCTGAGAAAGTCCTTTACCTGTAGCTAAAAGATTGTCAATGAAGTCCAATTGGTTCCTTTACCCTTCCATTCTGAATGCCTTTCTTACTGCCCCCAAAACGCCCATGGTACAGCCCGAGAAGCAGCTTAATGGTAAGGCCAAGGTGCCTCTGAGAACCTGAAGGGCTGCGCGTCCAAGTGTCTGCAACAATGTCTTCACCTCTGTAAGAAACCAGCTGGTTAGCGGAACTCCGAGAGGGGCGTCAGGGGCTGCAGCCTCAGCGTCCGACTGGGAGTAGTTTGGAGGTCACTAATGCACACATCTTGAGCCTCAATCTTCCCACCTGTGGCCTGAGTTTAAAATTACACATACGCCTTTCCACAGCCAAAGCCATATTGCCCAACGTCCAGAAAATGCAAGGCAAACATGCTGACATGCGACCATCAAATGACCTACAGAGCATCTGGAGTTCCAGGGTCGTGGATACTGTCTGTTCTCTGCAGCCCGCCTCGAGGGGGCCCGAAGGGGTGCGGACCCCGGCGCTCTCTCAGAACCCTAAGCCGCGACCTTCGGCAGAGGCGAGCCCATGACCAAGGTCCTTGCCCTGAGCTGTCAGGCCACAGCTAGCCAGCTGGCCGGGGCGGGGCGGGGCGGGGCGGGCGGAGGCACTTTAAGAGGCCGCGCGCACGGGGACAGGCCGCTCTTACAAGGTGACCTGAGTCATGGAGACTGCCCGGGACTACGCGGGAGCCCTCATCAGGCGAGTGCGCGCTTGCCAGGCTCACCACCCCGCCTGTGCCCCCGAGCGATCAGCGCACCCCGCGCCCCAGAGCGCCCCCCTCCGCCTGCGCCCCGCACTCGCGTGAGCCCCACATCCCTTTCCCTCCTGCGCCCAGTCTCCGCGTGCGCCCCGCATCCCGGAGCTCCCCGAGGCCGGGGTCCCGGCGCACTCACCCACACACCGGGCGCCCACGCCGCGGGCCAGCCGGGTAGGCAGAGCCCGAACAGCCGCGAGTCTTCTCCCGCTCCCCCGGCTGTCGGCAGGTGCCGAGGTCGTTCGCGTAACAGATGTGGCGGTGATGCGAAAGGGGCAACATCTCTTGCCTGCTATAGCCGCAGCCGCGAGTGCAAATAAGAATGCCATCTCGGGAACTCAGGGCATCGTGCCTAGGCAGGGCTTCCCGGGGTCGTGCGAATCACGACGCGAGCTGGGGCGCAGGGAGGGGAGCTGGTGGGGACTCTGGCGGCTCCGGGCGGCTTACGCATACCGGTTGCGGGAAACGCGCGCTTTGGGCTCCGGGCTCCAAGTGGAGGATAGGCTGATCCCGAGGGTGCTTCGGGCACTGAAAACTCCCTTACCCCTACTCGCTGAGCCCACTCGGGTTTGTAAGGGAGTGTTTGAGAGGACGCCCTCCTCATCTTCGCCGCACCCGAAGGCGATGACTCTGCCCACGGAAAAACCAGGGACCCGCGGACCCCGCAGCCTCTTTGCCCCGCTCCTCGTGATACGATGTGTGGTCGAAGGCCTGGCAACATTCCTTTCCCCTTCCTGGGTTCATTTCACATCCTGACATACCAACCAATCCTTTTTGGTAAGAACCTAAAGATCTTGCATGACAGAAACTTTATAGATTTAAGGGAGGAATCGTGTTTCTCTGAAGATCTTCAAAATATTTCAAAGAGGATAGAGAGGCCCTTGAGTACTTTAAAATGCAGGTGACGAATCCCCTTTGTACGGAGGGGTGGAGGGACAGGGTAGGTAAAAAGGAGAGAATCCTTTATGAAACTAGTGTGACCTATATAGACTTCTGGACTTGGGTTCTTAAAGGGGACTGTGTCTAAAACCTGAGGCTAAAAAAATAGCTGCCAAAATGTAAAGGTGATCAGTTGGGACAGCACTGGTTTTCTCTTTCAAAACAAAAACAAAAGCTAAGTCAAGCAGTGGAATCCCAGGGAGAAAAACAGATTTGATTCATGCATCTTCCCTAAAATGGTTTAAGCATAAAGGTAAAGCCCTTGATTTCTTTCCTGCTTTTCTTCTTCCAGTGCCACCCACTCCACACTCTCATTCCCAGGGTAACTGAACAGTTTGGAGTGCATCCTCCAAACTTTCCTCCCATGGCCATACAAATACCCATTCTCCAAGTTCCCCTGAACACTGAGGGGCTGGTAGGCTGATAGGTAGAGAGCACCTACTCCTCTGGTTTTGCCTGGAGCAGAAGGCAACACCTGCAGAATAAAGGCTGACGTTACCCTTACACCTGACCCCTACAACAGTGTCCCAAAATTTAAAATCTGTCTGTGCAAGGTTTTCACAGGGTTAAGCGTGTGACAGAAGCAACTCCCTGATAAAATAAATGTTGGTAAATCGAAACATAAGGAAACATATAATCTCCTGAAACACTTTTCTTTTGAGCTTGGCAAGCTGTAGGTATGAGTGACTATTTGTTGGGACACACTGTTGTTGTAGTTCTTTGAAAATTTTACCTGCTTCCAAACTGAGCTGCTATAATTCTTTGGAATCTACCTGCTTCCAAACTAAACTGGGAGAAAACAATCTGTAATATTTGTTGAAAGGAACACACTTTTCTTCCCTTCTGCCCTTCTTTAAAACCATGTTCACAGTGAAGATCTGTGTGAGCCGCAGGCAAGGTGCATTAGTTAATTTTGGTCTTGCGGGAATTTTCTCTCCTCTTAGTGCCCCTTAATTTAAACTGGCTGGTAGAGTTTGTCCTAATTCTGTCTTTTCTTAGTAAATAACTGCATTTTGCCAAGAAAGTAACTTAATCACTGTGCATATCATTTTTTAACGATCAGTTACGTGTAAGCAATTATCAAATTTTAAACAGTTGTTAGTTTTTTAATCATCTGTAATCACTAGAGGCCTTAGTCAAAACGAAAGCAGCCTGAGGTCTCTTCGCACACTCTGGACTTCAAGGATGTCCACCATTGTGTGTGTTGTCCCAAACAAAGTCTGCTCTGTCTTTGTGTCCCCTCAGTGATAACATTCATGCCAACCTTGAAGTTGTTATAAGGTTGATGTATTATATTTTGTGCAAAATGGCCATTTTTGTAGCTATTTACATCTTTCCTTTTCTTGAGCAAGGAACTCTAGGTTTTGTCTAGCTGTCATTTCAGCACAAGCAACGAATTGAGTTTTCTACAACTATATCCCTGAGGCTCATGGAGACCTAGCCAGGGCTGACAAATACTTCCCAAGCCACCTTATTTCTCTGCATTTCTGTATTTGCCATCACCACTTCCCTTCCTAACATTCTCATTGTCACTCTTAGTTTTGGCTATAGTTAGTTGACTTATATCCTATCTCTGTCTATGCTTAATTACTTCATATGGGTTCCTCCTTTTTCACCTAGTGATGAAATGTGGGGTTCCCTCAGTCATCGTTTCACTCTGAATAGTTTCTGAGTAGTATCTTATCCAGCCGTATAGAGCCACCTCATCGCTGCTGACACCAAAATGTTTCTCTTTGGCTCAGAGAGACCTTCCTTGTTCCTGGGCCTGCCTTTTCCTCCAGCACTTTCAGAATAAACATCAGTCCATAGGGTGCCTTATAAAGATGCTTTCTTATGATCTGTGGGGGTTAGCTTTGTTTTATTGGAGTAAAGTTTACGTCCACTGTCAGTCTGTGTTTGTTGTTTTATTTCACACACTTTTATAAGTTGAGGACTCCTTGGTTCCCACAGGGAAAAATACAAAGACTCTCTGTTTCCCTCACTTCTGGGAAATATGCCGCTTCACAGTTTTCAACTCTATGAAGTCCGACTTCTCTTATTGTCTTGATTTCCCCGAAGTAATCTATTTCCTGGAACAGCTGTTTCCTTGTTTTTTGTCCCTTTTAGTGAGCTATTTCCCTTCCTGCTTCATAGGATCATCTGCACTTTCCCAGGAGTTCTAGGTGACTGATGAGTGGTATATCTAAAAGCAGAATCCTAAGGCTTCTCAGCACTCCCATTTCAACATCGATACATTAAGAAATTGGGGCAGACAGGGGGAGATAGCAACACGTTTTAGGCATTGTGCTAATGGCCAGTGACATAAATTATTCTATTAAGAAGACCAAAAGTGAGTTGGATTAATATATTGCTTTGTTCATGCAGCTAGCTATTTAACCCTGCTGTTCATTTAGCTGGGCATATTCAGTACTCATACAGTATTTGTTAGATAGGTTTAGTGTATGTAAAATTTCATAACCCCTTTTTATGATGTATATGATAGTTCTGATTTTATATAATTTGACACATCAAATTACTCATCCTGTTTCTTGAAAAAAATGGCAACATTTAATTTTCATGTCTTCAAAGATTTTTTTTAATGTGTGCTCCATAAGACTTTTCTCTAACAATTGGTTCTTGGTTAAGAAACATAACAGAGAAGAAAAAGAATAAACTCAGTGTCCTTTTTTATCAAGGATGACTATCTTGAGGGCAGTGTGAAGAGGGAGGACCAAAAATGACTGCAAGCACTTATCTTGTCAGAGGTTAAAAGACAATAAGAACTTTATACAATCGGCTGTGCTAGGTCACTGGAGCATTGGTGCTTCCTAAAGTATGAGCATTTGCAGCCAATGAAGGGATACGGGACTACAGCTAACTAGGTCAAAGCTGTTCGTGCCCACGCGGTGTGCCATTAACCACCTAAGATTCTAAGACATGAACTTTGTTCTCCCATTTCTCTGATTTTATTCTAGTCTATTTTTTACTCAGTAAGTAGATCACATGCCAATGGGGACCTAGGTGCTGTGGGGAAGTAATGTACAGACAGACTCTGGCCTCAGTAGACATAGATTCTGGAAGGTCTCATGGGCAATGGCAATGTCTTCCTGCTCTGGAGGAGAGGCTCTTGCCGGTGAAGGTCCAGGGTCCCCTCTACTATAGGAGGGTTTGCACCTGGTAGAATAGGCACTGTGGTGCAAAAGCAGGAGCTGGATTCAAACCCCTGTGCTAGCACTTGCTAACTCTGACCTTATTAGTTTCTTAATGCCCTGAGTCTCAGTTTTCCTCATCTGTAATACTTGTCTTATAGAGTTATTAGGCAATGTGCTAATATATAGTGTCTGAAACAGAGTGGAACTCATATCTATCTCCTCATAGGAACTTTGCCAGTGAGTTTAAGTTTCAGATGCTATGACAAGATTGAGAACAAAATCAGGTTCTAAATGTAAAGCATAATATGGGTAATCCTCGCTGCCCTGTCTACCAAGTCATGAGGGATGAGACTGTGAGTGAATTCTCTGTAGTAGCAGCTCAGCAGAATGTGGGCACCTTGTTCGTTGTGTTGTGTAACTGAGGAATTTGGTGTAACTGCTTGGAACCAGGGCCAAGGGTTAGAGGCTGATGCCAGGCCCACAGCTGCGTCAATTCAGGCTCTGATTTACTCCGTGGATCTCTTGTCATTCTGATGGGGAGCCCGCGTTAGAGATCACTGACTTGGCGCAATCCCTTTGCAGTTGCCTCCCTGGAAACCAAGTGTGCAGTGACTGTGGTGGCATAAAGGGAAAGGCACTGAGGATATGAACAGAGAACACTGCTATCCCTTCAGCCATAAAGCAGCTCCTCCTCACAGTGCTTCCGACTGCTGTTTACTGCTTGAGGTTTGAGGTTCAGAAAGATGATGTCCTACCTCTTTTCCTTATTAACTAAGTCCCCTTGAGAAACCACTCTGAGAAATGAGTAATATTTTCCTTCTAAGGTTACGATAATTAGTTGACATATATAAAGAACTAATACATCGCTGGCCATAGCAAGTGCTCAGATGTGAGCACTTCTGAGGCATTAATGTGATGCTGGCTGAATATATTTCAAGCTAGACTCTTCTTGCTCATGCCATAAGGATGAGACACAGACACTCACTACTATGGGGACCTCCTGAAACTGCTGGTAGCATGAAATTAACCTATGTCTGAGAGCTGGTTCATTAGGATACTATCAGTTGTTCATGTAGCAAATTACTGATAAGTCATTGAATTGTGTCCATTTATAGAGCTTCAAGTTAAACAACATACTATATAAAAGTTCCATGCCTAGCACTAAGGTAGGTATTATGGGAGATAAACAAAGAAGACTTTGTCCATAAGGAAATTCTAATGGGAAATAGTTGGGAAATAAAGCATAGATAAATAAATGACAGTATGTGTGTGTGTGTGAAAATAAAGTGCTAAATCCTAGGTGATAGGCATTTGAAAACAGTATGGATATTCTCTAGAATCTTAGCCTTCATTGGGTTAATCTGTTATAAGTGTCAGAAAGCAGTGATAGACTCACTTTGTATCTTCTAAAAGGTTGTCCTTTGGGTCATTCTCTGGAATCTCACTGTACAAGCATTTGTCTAAATTGTCAACAACTATTTGAGCACCTGAAATAGGTCAGTGTGGAAACAGGACAACACCAGGTGCTAGTCCCTCTGGGGTTATGGGGATTAAATAAGGTCATGTGTCACTTATCACAGCACCCAGCCTGAAGCAAGATCTACCTGAAACATTGCTAATTTCTGTTTATATTCTTTTGAATTATTTATTTATGGATATATTCTTAAATAAAATAAAGTCCACAGTCCTGGGTGAAAGCTCTTTATGTGTTGCTAAACTGGTCCCCCAAAAGAACCACCTTCTAGTGCCACCAGCAAGGCCTATCTGTTTCCCCTTGCAGAGTCATTTTTAGAGAACTTCTTGCATGTTGGTTTAAAACAGGGGTCTCCAACCCCCAGGCCGTGAACCAGTATTGGTCCATGGCCTGTTAGGAACTGGGCCACCCAGCAGGAGGTGAGCGGCTTTCAAGCAAGTGAAGCTTGTATTTCAAACCTCTTCTTAAAGACTCTCTGTAAAAAGTAATGTCAAATATATTTTTTACTTTTCTCCTCCATTTCTAGGCCCCTGACATTTATGGGATCACAGACAAAAAGAGTCTTGCTTACTCCCCTCATGCATTCGGCTCGCCCTTTCCGAGTCTCCAACCACAACAGAAGCAGCCGGAGAGGGGTGATGGCAAGCAGTCTGAAGGAGCTCCTCAGCAAGGTACCACGGGCTGCAGAGCTTCTCACCGGTCCTCAGAAGACACAGGGTCTTTGGTGCTAAGCCAGTGTAGAGACAGAAATGTCCATGTCTTGGCCTTGGAGAGTCTGAGGGGGCCATTTCTAAGTCGTTAAAGGACAATAAAAGAATGAAAGGAAACAATATTTCATTTCTTTACAATAAACAATTTAGGTATAAAGACAAAAACCTTAAAAACAGTAATCAGTTAATAATGTAGCTTTGTTTCTTTGATAAGAGAGAATATAGAGAAGCAGCAGACTTTGGAAATCTGTTCTTTGTTATAAAGGCCAGGGAAGAATATTCCTTAATCTAAAAGTGTCCTAGATGATCAAATAAGGAAGAATCTCATGGAGACATAACCTAGACACAGACACCCACAGAAACAAGATGTGAGAGTCTAACATACAGGCTCTGAAACAAGAGAAACGTTCCAATACGCCACGTGAGACTCAGGCTTCTTAAATATCATATTGTAGGATTTTAATTTTTATTGGTTGAAATAAGTAGGTAATTTTAGAAACTGTAAATATTATTAAATGTAATCTCATGTCATTGAAATTTCTGAAGAAGATAAGTCCCTTAAAAACCTTAACTTCTCTTTTTCCAAGCCAAGACTGAATCATACCAATTAAGATATATCTTGACCATTAAAATTTTATCAAAATCAGCCAGCTCTTCTGAAACTATAATGTAATCAATGGCTGTGAGCAGTCAAAATGGCATTTCCTGCTTCATTCCATGTCTCTAATGTGTTGCTAACCTAGACCCTGGACGCCCTACTTATCACCAGTGGGCTGGTCACTTTGGTGTTGGAGGAAGATGGCACCGTGGTAGACACAGAAGAGTTCTTTCAGACCTTAGGAGACAACACACATTTCATGATCTTGGAAAAAGGACAGAAGTGGACACCGGTAAGCAAACAGCTACTGGGTAGACTTTTCACCTGCAAAAGTGAATTTCCTATTTTGGTGCTGACTTGCTCACTTTCTAAATATATCCTTTATATTATCTAATAACTAGATCTACCACCTTCAAAGGGATTCTTATAAGTATTTTTAGGAAATGTAGCATCTTTGTGAACTTGGGCTGTATGGTTTAGAGCAAAGAATTCTGAGGGACAAGTTTTGGCCAGTGAGTAGCTATAGATCTTGTTAAAGCCTTGTTGTTGACAATTCACTGACTCTGTCCTTAGGAGGCTGGGAAGCTAACATAGCCAAGGAAATTAAGTAGGGGGGTGTGCATGAATATAGTGATTTAGAAAAGTAAAGAGATAGAATAGGGGCTTCTACTTCTGTGGAAACTATGCATTATATATCTTGGAAAACCCTCCTACTAAAAATGTAAAGCAAAATATTAAAACATTTTTATATACCCAAGAAAGAGAAATCCTCAGAAGCCAAAGATTTTATGGGAGCCGGAATCCACAGAGGAAAGTAAACACTGATGTCTCACCTGTGAGCCTCTCACCTGCAGGCATCCACTGACCTCAGTGACTAAGGGTTTTGGTTTTTTTTTTTTAGACATGGTTTTATTTATTTTATTTTAAATTTATTTATTTTAATTAGTTTCAAGTATACAGTACATTGGTTAGACATCTATATAGTTCATAAAATGTTTCCCCCAATAGCTCCCTCCCTCCTCTGACCCTCCTCCAAGCCAACATATTAATGCTAACTGCATTCCCAATGCCATGCTCCCATGACCATCCATCAGCTACTAATTTGTACTTCTTTAACCCTTCACCCCATTCTCCCACCCCCCCAACTCCCCTCCCCTCTATCTGTCACCAAATTGTCCACTATATTTTTGAGTCTGTTTTTGATAGTTTGTTCTTTTTATTCCTTAGATTCCACATATAAGTGAAATCATATAATGTTTATCCTTCTCTGTCTGATTTAAATATCTTCTAGGTCCACAAAGCTATATCTTTTTCCATCTCCTTCCTTTTCATATGTAGGGATCTTGTTTTCTTATCCTTTCAGCCACTCTGTCTTTTGGTTGGAGCACTTAATTCTTTTCCATTTAAGGTACTTATTGATAGGAATGTAGTTGTTACCATTCTTTATTCCTGTTTTTGATGTATGTTTTTTCTTCTTAAGGAAGTTAAGGGCTTCAGTTTTGAAGGATGCTGGGAGGACAGGAGACAAAGTCTTAGGTTAAAAGAAAGTGGAGGTCAGGTTAGAGATGCCCACATAAAGCAAAGAATCTTAGCAAGTTCTCTTCTGGGAATCTGTGGGACACCTGCTCTCATGAGGTTTTAGGGACTCTTGATTCCAAAATCACCCAAGCTGAGAGTTTAGTTTACAGAGACCCAGGGAGGGAACATCAGTGGAAGGAGGTTACTCATTGAATTCTTTTTATTCAAATAACCTCTCCTTCCAGTCCCAGTGATCCAGGGTTGATGTGCCTCCACATAACTAGTAGAAGCAAATAGGCTCAAAATGAATTTGACCCAGGCCTCAAAGAATTTTCATTCCTAAAGTTCCAACAAATGTGAGTTCACAATAAAACATAAAACATAAGGACTCTGAATGTGAGAGTAAGCGGAATTAACAAAGCCAGGCCTGTAAAGAACTCAGATTTGAATCATCAGTGTAAAATAAGTATATTTAAAATGTTCAAAGAAATATAAAAAGTAATCTAAAGTAAGAAGGAATAAGAGAAAATTTAAAAAGAGAGAGAGACTTGGAAGAATCAAATAGAATTTCTGGAAATGAAAAATTAGCAATTAAAATAAATGAAGACTTGGACAGGACTAAAGCTAATAAAAGACCTGGGAGACAGGTCTAAAGAAGATACCTGCAATGTAACACAAAAAGAGAAAGGTGGAAAACAGGAAGGAAGTTGGAGACATGACTGAGGCGATCTAATGTCTATTTGGCATACTCAGTGCATTAATTTTTTAAACAAGATGCAATACATTAACCATTTTTTTAAATGATAAATTCAACTCCATTAAGAATTTTGTTCATCAAAAGATACTATAAAAGAAGTAAAACAAAAGCCACAAGTGGGAGAAGATGTTTTCAACATAACCCGACAAAGGATTAGTATTCTGCAAATTTAAAGAAATCACACAAATCAATAATGGCAATAACAGACAAGCCAATATTAAAATGAACAAAAAATAGACAGGCATTTGTAGAATGGATAATAAATCATAGGAAAATGCTCAATCTCATTGGTGACTAGGAAAACAAGTTAAGACCGCAATAAGACACCCTTTTACACCATTATTGTTAGGCTTTTAAATTTTTTCCATATTTAAGATATGGAGCAATGAACTTTCTTATGCTCCCACTAATAACTATGTAAAACAACTTGTCTTTATCCCATAGAGTTGAACTGAGCACGTCCATTTCTACATATATACCCAGCACATGATACCCAGCCACATGCTTCTATGTAAATATGCATAAACACATTGTTGTATATACATTGAATGGAATATACAACATTCGATGTTTATAAACTGCTGTGAAAATGCATGAAGTACAGATACAGACATCTATATGGATAAATCTGATCAACTATGTTGAGTGAAAACATGGCAGAATAATACATTTAACAAGTGGTCCTCAAACTTTTTGATCTTCCTTTATACTTTTCAAAATTAATAAAGACCCAAATAGCTTATGTTTATGTGGATCATATCAATAGAATCTGTTGATATTCATCAATCAGAGGTTCTCAACTGGGGATGATTTCGACCATTAGGGAACATTTAGCAATGTCTGAAGACCTTTTTGGTTGTGACAGCTGGGGCAGGGATACACTACTGGCATCTAGGGGGTAGAGACCAGAGATGCTACTAAATATTCTACAATGCACAGGACAGCCCCTATGATGAAGAATTATCTGGCCCCAAATGTCAGAGTGCCAAGGATGAGAAAGTATAAGCTATAGGTATATATATTTCACATAATCAAAGTTAAAATTGATAAATTTAAAAAATATATTATTTCGTTAAAAATAATAACCCAACACAAGTTAACAGAAATCATATATTTTTATTAAAAATAACTATTTTTCAAAACAAAAAATATTTAATGAGGCATAACATTGTTTTACATTTTTGTAAATCTCTTTAATGCCTCATCTAATAGAAGACAGCTAAATTCTCATATCTGCTTCTGTATTCAATCTGTTGTAATATATTGTTTTGTTGGAAGTATGTGAAGAAAATATGATCTCACATATCTATGTAGTTGGAAAAGGAAAGATTATTTTAATGGTCTTTCCAGATCACTGAGGATATTCTCCTCTGATACTACACCAAAACTCGACAAGTGCTGGTTGTATAAAGGCTGGCTGCAGTGTGGAATCTGAAGGCATACCTGTGAAGTTTGCCTCCTCTGTGACATTGGAATCCATGGGTCAGTCTAGTACTTTAATGGATCTTTTTGGCAGGGATGATTTTGTAACATCGTGCATTGATCCTTTAGAAAATATTGGTTCACTGAGTTATGCAGATTTTCCAAATGTACTACTTGTGAGAGAATGAGAACAAAAAGGCAAATTGCATCCTGGTGTTTCTTATAAAAATAGTTTTGATTTCTCAATCCCCAGAAAGGGTCTCAGGATCCCCCAGGTGCCTCTAAACCACACTTAGAAACCTCAGCATTTAACCATTTATAGATAACTGAAAAATATATAAAATTAGCTACATAATGTTTAAGATACACATGGCTAAAAAAGTAAGGGAATTATGCACAACTTAGATGGTTTCCTCTTGGGAGGTAGAGGAACATAATTTGGAGAGACACAGAGGGGTGATAATGTTTTGTTTTATGTGGAATGGGTATATCGATCATCTTATTATTCCTTATTTTTACATATATGTACACTTCTATACATGTCAAATACTTCATAACAGAATTTTCTAACTAGAGAAGAAAAACTACAAACCAGTATAAAAAGCATAAAATTAAATATACATATTTATGTATATATATATCTTTAAAATAAATGATTATGCTAGTATATTGGAAGATCGTGGGGTCGATTAGATAAATCTTTTAAAAGACAATCTTGGACTGTACTGCTTCTTGTTTGAGGGCAGAATAATGGCCCCCAAATATGTCCTTGTCCTAATCCTGGAAGCTGTGAATGTGTTACTTTACATGACAAAAAGGATTTGGCAGATGTAATTAAGTTAAAGCTCTTGAGATAGGGAGATGATCCTGGATTACCCAGTGGGACAGGTAAGCACAGAGTCTTTTTAAGGGGGATGAAGAAGGGCCAGAGTAAGGGCCAGAAGCAGAAAAAGAGAAGGAATAATGTGAGGAAGGGCCACAAGCCAAGGCATGCAAGCCGCTCTGGAAGCCAGAAAAGGCAAGGAAACCAATCCTCGCTGCAGCCTCCATAAGGAACCAGCCCTGCCGTCTCATTTTGGACTCCCAACCTTCAGACCTGTGAGAGAATAGATTGGTGTTGTTTTAAGCCATTAAATTTGTGATAATTTGTTATAGCAGCCACAGGAAACTAATTCAGACAGGATCTTATTTTCTGTTTGTTTGTTTGTTTGTTTGTGTTTGTTTTGTATATGAGACATTTAGTTACTAAGGGGAGTTGGTTAATATGTGATACGTATAAGCCCCCAGAATGGGTGGATGCTGGGATACCCAGCTAAAGTTTAGAGTAGTGATAGGGTGCAATGGATACAAATAAGTCTGCTATGTGACGGTTCAAGGAGGAGCCTAAGGCCATTTCAGTCTAGTAGCTGCCTGAGTAACATGTGATTTGGGATTGGAGTCTTCTCTTGTCTTCCAGTTTTCAACCATCTTCCTTTGGGTAGGAAATAGGCACCTCACAGCTGATTATAGGTCCTACCCAACTTGGAGGTGTTTTTACCAGTGAAGCCAATTTTATTTGACTTGAGAATGTCCTGCTGAGAAATAGCCACCAGAGGTCTCCCTTCTTCAGTCTAAATGCCTTAGAGCCTGTGAGGAAGTAGCTCTTAAAGCACTTTCTGGAAGAGGGCTCAGAGACAGTCTTTTCCTTCTTCCTTAGTCAGCAGATTATAGAACTCCAGTGTTAGATCATCAACGGATTAACTTTGTAAGTGCATGTTGATTTTGATTTAAGACCAAGACTTAAGGAAGACATTTCGAGAAAGTAAGATAAATTTTTCATATAGCAGAGGAACATGGGGCGATAAACAAGGGTTGTAGCAGGATTATATGTGAAAATCTCTTTTGATTCTATAATTTTGATTTTTAAAAACAACGTTTCCTAAATAATGGAGAGCTTATGCCCTCTAAAGTAAAGAGGCCAAGGACTTCTTGTGCATTAAACAATGGGCAACGACCAGAATCTCTCTTGGCTCTGTTTCATGTGAGAAGAAAGAAGAGTGACTCTAGGGTTTGGTTACTTTTAGGAGAATTTATGTTTTAACTTCAAATATCATTGTCATTATGAATTTAATGTTCGTAAACTCAACTATTCCCAACCCCAGAGGTTCCTGAGAGTTAGTAATCCTATTGGTTTATGTAACTTTGAATCCTGAATGCCACAAGATCCCTTCCTGGAGCAAACCCACAGGAAGATTATCTCCTGACCTGGTATTTGTGCCCTGAGACAGCTCTCTTCTTGTCCCTTCAATGATTTTGGTGGGGAAGATTATAAACTGTTTATAAACTGGGAGACTTATAAAGGTCTTTGACTTTCTTCTCCCAACCTAAAGGGTCTGTGATGTTTCAGGTACACTGAGAGTAGATAGTGTAATCAAACAGCTTTGGTGTCTCCAAGAAGTCAACTTTCATCCAGGGTAGTTACTAGAAAATAGAGGAAGCCCTGGGAAAGTTCTCATACTGCCCCTTACTGTAGCCATGTGATTCTGAAACTTTCTGCCCAGAAGCCTCTTATAAAATGGAAATAATGCTGCCGGCTTCTCTTTAAGCAGACCATGTCATAGTCATGAGACTGTCCATGTCAATCAAGTAACCATGGTGGCCTTCAGTGACCAGGGTGAGTGTCTCCCAATATCATGTGTCAACAACACAGCCATTCATTGATCCCTGGGTATTGAAACCTAGGCCCCAAAGCTGAATCACGGTCAGGCTGAGTCATTAAACTCAAGGAAGATGAAGGAAGAATACTTTCTTATGGGTTTGGACATGGTAACAGTATAAGAATATTGCTCTGCTAAAAACATTAATAATTAGCAGCTTAGTCCCTAATGGATTTTAAACCGACAGTCAAAACTAGCATAAAACCAGAATTACAGGATTTGTATGTCATAGGTAGGATGCTTCTTAAGTCTCCTCCTCCTGTCACTCTTCTAGGGTAGTAACTGCATCCCCGCTCGCCAGCAGCCAAAGAAATCAGGAATAGCAAGAATCACCTTCGACTTGTATAAGCTGAGTCCCAAGGATGTCATTGGCTGCCTCAACGTGAAGGCCACCATGTATGAGATGTACTCCGTGTCCTATGACTTCCGGTGTACAGGGCTCAAGGCCTTGCTGAGGTAACAGACTTCGGGGTCAACTTTAGGGTCTGGTAACTGCACACAGCATGGTCTAGTGGCCCGTTCTCAGCTTGCTCTTCTGCAATCCCAGGCCTGAGCCTCGAGGAGGCCCTGATGTGACTCATAGTTGTTCACTCTAATTCACATTGTTGTACAGAAGTTTAACTCTTATGCCAGACATATTTCAGAAAACAGAAAGTCTTGAGCCAAAATATACTTTTTTTCCCTCCAAAGACCATTAAATACTTAATGGAAACAAAAATCTAATAAATTTAAAGAACCAAATTTCTCTTAAAAACTAGGGCTGTGCAATTTTAAACCTTAATTCTAAGCGGTGACATTAAAACCAGAGCTGTGGAGATTCTGACTTGGTTTGAACAGAGTAGCCACCCAAACCTAGGTACTATTTTGCATGTATTTCTGTATTACTGCTAACTTGAAGCTAGTGGTAAAGTGGCATGGGAGCATGGCTGGGGCTGGGCTGGCTGCATAGCATTACAGGGAAGCCTATAGAAGACAGATCCCTAATGCATACCCCAACCTGTATGAACAGATTCTGTATGTTCACCAGAAACACTCCATGTGTATAACCAGGATGGACACCCTGCAACCGAACCCTGGACTGAGAGAGATACCTGCAGTCTCTCCCAGCCTTGCCTCTGAGCAACAAGCTGTGTGACCTTTAACAGGTTACTTAATTTCTCTGAGGCTTGATTTCAGCATCTTTTAAAGGAGAAGGTTGCTTCAAAGTTCTTCATCATTACAAAGGCTCCAAATACACCTGTATCTAGCCCTCCAGTTAATTTGCCATTGATCCTCTACAGCACTAATTCTCTGTGGAGGGATGGATGGAAGGAGAGACTGACAGTGGCAGAAGGTCTTGAAGCTGGTCTAAAAAGATTGCAACTGCTGACTCCAGTGCTCTCTGCATAGCCCCTCTGGGCAGCGGCCTGCCTACTTCCCTCAGGGCACTGGCTCATTCTCTCTTCTGTCCCAGGAGCCTGCTCTGATCTTCCTAGAGCACCAGGAGGGAAAAGGCTTTGGAAATGAGGCTGCTCTCCTCTAATGGGTCTCCAGGCCCCAACACTAGGTCAGCTTGGCTGTAGCTTCTGTGTGGCCTCCATTTCCTACTTAGAATCATCAGCAGCTGACTCCTAGACAACTGTTATTGTCCTAGTGTTGAAATATTGACTCTCAAATAGCCACAGAAGTCACAAAGATTCCCAAATCAAAGCCATTGCCTACCAAGGGTCCTTTCTGGGATGCCAGGAGCAGAGGGCTGTCCCAACCAGTGCTGGGGCTGGGTTTCTTATGAAGTGACAACCTTTAAAACTGAAATGAAACCCTTTAGCTTTGGACTTAGTAGGGAATAAGATTTTTAGTTAGAGTCACTTTCTTAGTCTGAAATAACACAATTGCCAGACTCAATCTTAGGATGTAGATGCCACAGTAGAGTCAAGTTGGGATGTCCCAGCCCCTTAAGCTAACTGGTCATAGGGTTACGATTTCAGTTTTTGTAAGACATTTCTTCAGCCTGACTTCTCCTTTCACACCCGATTTGACTGATTTCAGTAACAAGCCCCACACACTCAAGGCACCAGAATAAGCAAGTGGCTGAAGGATAGGACATAGTGTGTACACTCAGGAGAACAGTCTGCCGACTCGGCACTTTCCAGTTGCTGAGCAACAGGCCACATTGGGAAGTGGCTAGTGGAAGGGTAGTCCCGGTCAGTGGCATCAGTGTCACCTGGGAGCTCACCGGAAATGCAGAGTCCCTGCTCTGACGCAGACCTCACCAGTCAGCATCTGTGTTAGAGAGCCCAGTGGGGATCAGGGGATGTAAGCATGGCCTGCTCTGAGCACATATTTGGTGGGGCGGGGGGAGGGTTGTGAAGATTTCTCGTGCCCTCTGTTCCTTACTGGCCCAGAACTCCAAGCCTGATGCATGCCTTTGTCCCCTCTGTTGCAGGAGCCTGCTACGGTTCCTGTCCCATGCTGCCCAAGTGACCGGACAGTTTCTCATCTACACAGGCAAGAACATGCTCCGAGTGCTAGATGACACAGAAGAACAGTCTTCTCCCAGGCTACACTCCAGGCAGAAATTCAAGATTGGATAGAGTTGCACTTTGAGGGGCTCAGCCGGCTTTGACCCATTCGTTCCCTCTCAAATGACAAATTTTCAAGATGCTTACGTTCCCTTATGCACAATATACACATGCACTTGTAGGCTGTCCATCACTTCTGCTCAGGAGTGACACTGGGGTGAAAAGAAAGGGGTTTGATGGCACACAACATGAGGTCTGTGCAGCAAGAGGCCCTGAGGGAAGGAGACATGTAGGGGCCCAAGATCAGGAATGTCTTGGGTGGCTAAGGAGCAACATGCACATACATTAGGCCCTTTTGGCTCCTCACCTCTTGAAATAAATTGATCACAGGAGTTACTTTTGATATGTGTAATAATTTCTGGTGTCTCTTTCATCTTCCAAAAAAATAAATAAAACCTTTCATAGAGAAGCAAAACTCAGCCAGAAATCTTCTGCTAACAGATATAATCACTTTTAAGTCTTTACTAGTATGTGGTACAGCAGAATTAAGGAGCTGTTAAATGTGACTATGGGTTGTTTTTTTTAATGTGTAAGTCCCAAATGAGCTCCAAAGGGACCCAAAAACTGATGGAAGGTCTCCAAGCAGCATTTTCAACCTTTTTCTTAAAACAAAACAAAACAAAACAAAACAACAAATAACAACAATAACAACAAAACAAAAAAAACTGCTTGAAACCTAGACCTGATACATTAATACTAGTGGATCATGTCTTCACTTCCTAATTGTTGCCTGTGTTCTCACTCGAGGCCCTTGGTTACAAGTGACAGAACTCTGACCCAGGCTGCCCTAAGCTAAGAGGCAGCCAAGAACAGCAGTAGTGGCTCTAACTGAAGGCACAGCAGATACAGGCACTCAAAGAAAGTGTCCAGGAATCTATCTTTCCAACTCCTGGTCCTGTTTTTCTCTGAGTTGGCATCATCTTCCGGCAGGCCCTCCTTTCATGGAAGCAAGAATGTCAACCCCACAGGCCAAAGTCCTGGGCTCTCTCCCAGCAGAACACTCTGAAACGGGCCCCTCACATAGTCACCAAAACTGATGTGACATTCAGGGCTACATGACAAGGAAGGCTAGCCCCAACCATATGGGTCGGATGGGGAGACGTGGCTCCCCAAGGAAATGGGAGTGCTGTTATTAGAATAAGGGTAACAGGTGCTAGGAGACAAATCTATTCAGATTTCTGAGTTTCCTATGAAGAAATTTTGTTGCATGTAGCTTCCTCCTTTCCTGGCTGATAGCTCAAGCACAATGAAAAGATGCTACAGGCTGTCTAGAAACCCCAGCAGCAAGGGTCTCCTGCACTTTCACCATTCCTGCGATCATGCCCATTGTCAGATCTTCCCTGGGGAGCCTAGATGTTCTTCCCTTCAGAAACACAGTCCAGAGTCTCCCTCTGCAGTCACTGTGACCAGCATCTGCTCCAGTCCTGGGTTCGCAGTGTCTGAGCTACCTACTTAGAGAAGGGGCCAGGAACTGGCAACCTGCAGGCAGGAGAGGCAACAGTAAAGGAACCTCTGCAGCATTGCTCAAAACCCAGCCTCTTCTGCTAACATAGTAAAAGAAAATGTGTTGTAGTGGAAAATGCATCTGTTTTTGCTCTCCTCCTATAATGATATGCCACTGTTGGTACGGGGAGTTTCACAGACTGCTCAAATGCAATCCCGGTGCTGTGTGTAAGCGCCTCCTTTGTAAATTGTTTGCTATATAAGGAGTTCCACCAAGAGACCTTCCCACCACTGGCAGCTGATGAAGTTCAGCTAAGGCACAGTTCCCCAGAAGCTGCTTGCGTCTCAGGCGGGAACTCAGGGGCACCTTCCTAGGAGTGCTCTCCTGCCTCTCCCTGACTGTGGGCTTACGTCACTTCCCAAGGATTCAGCAGTCTTGGAAAGTGACTGCTTGGCTTCCAAAAAAGGAATTTTCACTGAAGTGCCTGATGCCATTGACTCAGCGCTGCTCTCACTCGTGGGTCCTTTTCCTCACGCTATCCAGAGGGCGCCCGTGCCTGCTTCAAGGGGAGGATTAAGCAAAAGGAGAACATGGAAATGCCATCTCGTTGTGGAAAGGGGCTTAATTCAAAAGAAGAACTATTTAGAATTTGAGTGTTTCTGAACTAGCCGAGACCTTTCCCCAATCCTGTGACTTATTGGGACAGCCCAGGAGGAAGAGGCCTCTCCAGAACCCTCTGGAAGGTGTATGGGGCTCTGGGTGCTAATGCACAAGGCCAGTGGAGAGGGGGCTGTGAAGCCTGTGTCTGCTGACATCAAAGGCTTTGGAGAGCCCTTTGTGAGACTGTTGATGGGAGAAAACTAGCAGAATTTAAACTTGCTCTGTTTATAGGAAACATCTCGACAGGTGCTACTCCCTCTCTGATCCAGATTAGGTAAAGTGCATTCCAAAGGTGACACTTTCTTGTTCTAATCTTAGTCTTCCTTCAACCTACATTTAGCCTACTAGCTCAGAGAAAGGCGTGGTCTAGCTGTTGGCAGAAGCTACAGGGCTGGCTTAAACTGCAGCGCTTCCTGCTGCACGGCAGACTACAGCAAGCAAGGACTGCGAGAAGGTGCTCCAGGGCTTTGGGTGTCACCAATAACTAAGTCATTCATTAAGTCTGCTCCAGTGTCATGTGTCCCTTTCAAGGGCTCAGGATCTTTCTGTGTACCTTCGATGGGGCCAAGTTCCACAGCTCCAATTCATTTACTTCTAGAATCGTAACTCAGAAAAACAGGAAATTGCTCCTATGAGTTCAGCACTCATGATCCTTTCATGTGAGTGTGCATCTTGATGTTTATTAGTGTGCCCCCCTTTCTGAGCAGCACATACACTGCTAGCTCCACACCCCAAGATTCAAGGTACACTTTCTGCTGTGAGCAGGGGACAGAGTACAGGCCTGGCATGAACTGAGGGTGTTAGAATGAAATATTATAAAGCCATTACCTCATGGCCAAAGACAGATCGATTAAAATCATCCTGCTGTGAACAGACTTTCCTGCCGCAGGTCCCTTCCTTCATCTATAAAATCAGCATCGAAACGAGGTGGTTCAGGAATTCCATTCTCAGACAGGTTTTCTTGGCACAGGTTTAAAAAATGTAAATAGAGCTCCTTTTGTCAGCCTGGTACTTTTCAGTTCACCACAATTCTACTCTTCTTCTGCCCAGCTCTGGAGAAGGCGTCTGTTACCTGGTTTGCCCCTGGGTCCCAAGTTAGGGACACTGCTATAAGCTCTGTCAGATGAGGATCCTAAAACTGGGATCCATTTCCTCAAGGGGAAGTTCTCTTTTTCCTCACTTGGCGCAGCATCTATATGCTTTTCTTCCTACACAGAGTTGTAAGGCAGACATGTACACCCTTCTGAGCTGCCCCGCTCACAGGGAGAGCTATGGCCTGGCGCTGCCTGCGCCTGGTCCACCTGGGGACATGGTGTTGCTTTCCTTCAGTGCCCTAGACCTGTGGGAATGTGGCCTTTCTCCAGGAAACTGGGCCCAGCTTGCTCACAGCCCAGAGTTGAGCCACAGACGATGCTCTGCCTCCAAATCTGAGGAGTGCTATTCTCACTCAGGGGGGGTCTCCTATCTACTGCTCCCATTCCTCTGTGATAAATAAATCATATGTAAAGAAAACTTTGGGCACTCCTCTCTGTCACCTTTTTCTTTCAAGACTCCTATTCCTTGTTGCAATTGTCTCAGTTTCTATAAAGGAGTTGGGACCATCTCACGCAAATGATTACAAACACCTGGCTCATTTAGGGGAATTGCTCTTTGTCACATCCTGAGAAAAGCACAGCCCCAAGAGGACTCCTTTGCTAAAGCCTCAGAGAAGGGCCAAGCTCAAAACATGCTGCACATAGCTTCCAGCTGCCCAACTGCCCCAAACTCTTAGAGCAGGTTTACGTTGTAGTCTACAAACTCAAGTGGACTTGAGTTCCATATTTGTGTGTGGCTATGTGTGTGAGTGTGTGGTAAAATATACACAACATTTAAAGAAATGTGGCTTTTCAAATCTGATTGTCAGTACATTGCTTTTTATTCCAGCCTCCATTCCACTGAGTGGTCTCCCCCACCTCACGGCGTTCTATGGACTAATATGCCAGGGCACTGGGGGACGTACCCCGACCATCAGGGATCGTGTCCCACCCAAGGCCTTCCCCAAGATGCCCACTGGCTGTGACCTTTGGAGGTCAATCTGTGAAGGTCATACTGAATCTTTCCTGCCCCTCCTGCATGGAGTCTTCATGCCACCACTGCTCAGAACCGGGTCCTCCCTGGCCTGCTGATAGCTTCTATACGACTATTTTTAAAACTTACATAATAAATATAAACAAAACTGAAAAAACACAATGCATTAACAACATTAATTTAATGGTGTAGTTAAATAAATTAAATTGTCTCTTGAAGTGAGACTGTGACCTACTGTATGAGAGCTCAATTCTACCACTTTGATTTTTCAGGCTACTGCAAAACTTTTTGTCATATGGCCACCTTCACTTGACATTATCCCATCATCCGCCAGCACCTAGCGTCTTCACATAAAAAGTACTCAACAAATGTTTGTTGATTAATGGAATAAATAAATGAAGAAAGGAAGTCCACCTCTGCTCTTTTCTTAGTAGCATTAAGTACAAAAATACATAGGACTGAAATACACACACACACACACACACACACACACACACACACACACACACACACACACACACACACACACACACACACACACACACACACACACACACACACACACACACGACATGTAATCATCTAAATTAAAATACAACATAAAAGTTCTCAGAGCGAGAATTAGATGTCCACTGAGAGACACTTGGCTTTTGAGGAAATGGCAGTGTGAGGACCTACATCAAAACACTCTCATCCTCCCCTCTGCCTGGCGATCAACTTCCAGATCTGTCTTAGGCAGGGCATGGCCTCCCAGTGCAGCATTTTGAAATCTATTTAACAAAATAAAATATCTGCTCACTCTAGATCGGATCTCAGGTTCGTTGTAAGGGAGAAACTTCACAAAGAATATGAGTACATTTAAAAAAAATTTTTGCATACACAGATAACTTAGTAAAAATAATGGTGAAAAAAATTAAAACAGGAAACATGATTTAAATAATCTCAAAAAAGAGCAAGAACAAATTTTAATCTTCATATAAGAAAACAACCACCAAAATATAAAAGGAAAGGAAATTTCTTTTGTAGAAGAATATATTGTATAGTTCCACCTGTTGATAATTTCAGTTAAAAAAAGTCTATTCTAAACACATGAGCAGTCTCACTCTTACTAATATGTATATTTTAATCAATGGTAGAAGGGGGATTTAGACTA